TGGGTCAAAGAACCCCAGAGCTTCCAAAAGAAGGCCTAAGGCTCGTCAGCTGCCTGCATTGCTTCACAGCTGTGCCTCATCTAGGCACCTCCAAACCCCAAAGAGGAGGAATCTGCAGATCTCTCCATAGCTCCTGCTGGGTAGCCTCAGGCAGTGGCTGACTTTGCACCTCCTTGGAGATCCAAAAGCCAGTGTACCCAGGGGGCCGAGTGAGACCACACCAGATTACAGCTCTTCAGATCCATAAAAGACACACTCAGGGGGCAGACTCAGTGAGCACCAAAGCCCCACTGAAGCAAGTCCTGCCCCATAAGGGTGTTTCCAGCACAGCAGTTCTCCCATTGTAGACACAACTGGTTCTCACAGCCAATTGGTCTGGAGGTCAATTCCTCCCAGCGATATCAACAGCGATCAAGGCTTAACTACAACCAGACTGTGCACACAGCCCAAAAAGGGGTGCACCAAGAGTGTCCACATCAGGTGACTGGAGAGGCTGAGCCACTGGGCACTATAGGACACCTGGCACACAAACCCACTAAGTGGAGGGGAGCTATGGGGAGAAAAAAGAGGAACAACTGTAATAATCTGAATAAAGACTTATTTAAATAAAATAAAATAAATAAAACTTTAAAAAATTTTTTTAGAAAAAGATTAAAAGCTAGCAAAATGTAAGGTAAAAAGGGAAAGGCATGCCCTGACCGGTGTTTCTCAGTGGTTAGAGAGTTGGCACACCAAAGGGTCACCAATTCCCAGTCAGGGGCACACACCTGAGTTGCAGGTTCAATGCCCAGTCCCTTGGTTGGGATGAGAGCCAGAGGCAACCAATCGATGTGTCTCTCACATCGATGTTACTCTCTCTTTTTCTCTCCCCCCACTTCCACCCTCCCTCCCTTCCACTCTCTCTAAAAGTCAATGGAAAAAATATCCTCAGGTGAGGATTAACAAAAAAAAGGGCGGGGGGAAGGCAGGGGAGAGGACTGAAAGAGACAGAAGAAGTAATCTCAAAGGGAATGAACTAACATCAGTGTCATGATGTCATAGGCTCCTGCAAGAGAGCATGGTCTACACGTAACAATAATAGGATATAATAGGTCATAAGGAAACGTATGCATTTCAGCAATGGGGTTATGATACATTTAGCACATATGCTTAAGGTTTGAATGTGAAAATTGCAGTCAAGTTCCAGACTGTGATAGTGCAGGTATCTGCAGATAATGCCTAAATGAAAAGTAGGTCTAAATTGTATTAATCAACCAACAAATCATCGTGTGATTAAAACACTAATTTTTTTCAATTGCTGTAATGCTTTGAACATTAAATATGCTCAGGTGTCACTCAAACCAAGATGACAAAATATAAAGGCAATATGCCTTTAACACTACACTTTTACCTGAATCATGCATTCAAACTGGTACATACAAAGGCCCAATTCTGCCATACTTGGTTTAAAAAGTTCACGAAGTCTATAATCTTGCATTAATTTAACAAATACACAGAAGGCTTCTTCTTCTGGCATCTACATTAGGAGAAAAAAGCAACATTAGGTTAATGTTCTGTGATACACAAGTAAGTTAAAGTCTGTTTAAAGTAAGTACCCATCCAACTACAAACACTGTTTTGAGTGGCCATGTGATACAATGTCAAGATCAACAGACTAAAAATCAGAAGGTTTAACCTCCCATATATCACAGCGAATGAAAAGTTAGACAAATCTAACAACCTCTGAGACTAACAGTCTCACTTGCTAGATACCTCTCTCTCTCTCTCTCTCTCTCTCTCTCTCTCTCTATGCCAGTCAACAAAATAAATACAATTGCTATACTCAGTGACTTTGTACTTTCTAGTGGGGCGAGAGGACAATGTATGAAGAAATCAATTAATATATGTCAGATGGCTATGAGTGCTATTAAAATAAAACAAAGTAGAGTAACAGGAAAAGCTGGGGAGATGCTATTTACTTTCCCTACCTAGGTCAAGGAAAGTGCCTTGATAACATTTGAGCAGAATACTGAAGGGAACAACTGAGGAAAACAGTTCTAGGAGAATAATATAAAGGCCTTGAAATGGAATCAAGATTGGCATGCTCAAGGAACAGCAAACAGGGGACTAATAAAGTATGTCTAAAGAGCAACTACTAACACAATGTAGCTCTGCAGCTGAAAGAAGCCGGCGTCATCGACAGAAAATGTCTGAAGACCAACGTGCCTCTGAAGCTGAAAGAAGGCAGCGTCAGCAACAGAATGTATCTGAAGAGCAATTATTGGCACAACGTAGCTCTGAAGCCAAAAGAAGCTGGTGTCATCAACAGAAAATGTCTAAAGACCAACGTGACTCTGAAGTTGAAAGAAGGCGGCGGCGCCGACAGAATATGTCAAGAGAATAGTCATCAACAAGTACACGGGGGTGGCTCCACCAAGGGTCCTGCGGCTCCGTGAGGCTGGATGCTGCATCTGTCTGCATGGGCGCAGGCAGGTCTGCATCTCGCAGGATTTTGAGGCACATGCAAGTGGGCGGGGACTTGACTCTGGGTCTCCTGGCGCAGGCGGACTTGACACTGTGTCCTCGTGGGTGCTGGCCCAGACTCTGACAGCAGGGAGGAGAGAGTCCCATCCCCCACAGGATCAGCCAGAATCAGCTGTTGGTCAGCCAGCTCTCGGCGTCCTGACAGCCAGGACTCTCATTCACCTGCATCCCAGACCCTGACAGCAGGGAGGTGGGAATATGTCTAAAGAGCAACTACTAACACAATGTAGCTCTGCAGCTGAAAGAAGCCGGCGTCATCGACAGAAAATGTCTGAAGACCAACGTGCCTCTGAAGCTGAAAGAAGGCAGCGTCAGCAACAGAATGTATCTGAAGAGCAATTATTGGCACAACGTAGCTCTGAAGCCAAAAGAAGCTGGTGTCATCAACAGAAAATGTCTAAAGACCAACGTGACTCTGAAGTTGAAAGAAGGCGGCGGCGCCGACAGAATATGTCAAGAGAATAGTCATCAACAAGTACTACCAATACCAGTAGGAACTGCCTTCTCAGCGAAAATGGAGTACATGAGGATG